AATTAAATGAAAACATAATTTGTGGAAAGAAAGGGCCTCCCTGCCCTTGTTTAATGGTCTGAGCAGAGTGCCAGGCAGTGTCTTGGCAGAGTCTGGCACCAGCTTCCTTTCTTGACCCACCCCCAGGCATGGCTGGTCATGGTACCCCTCTCAGGCCAAGGGAATGAACCTGATGGTTCACACAGAGGTTCCCAGATAGGGCAAGATTCACCCTGCAGGGTTTTCTGTCCTTCTTAACCCTCCCACGCCTTTTAGGAAAGGAGATGTGGAGTGCAACCTTGAACTCATGATCCTCCTGCCTCCACCTCCCTGTGTTGGAAACACACGTGTGCACCACCAGGCCCAGGACTTTCCCCTTTTGGTTTCATCTTGTTTTTCAAGAGACGTTTCTCTGTATAACCCTGGGTGTCCTGGAACTCGCTCTGTAGACCAGGCTGGCCTCGAACTCACAGAGATCCACCTGCCTCTGTCTCCTGAGTGCTGGGATTAAAGGTGTGCGCTATGACTGCCTGGCACTTTCCCCCTTTTAACTGGAGAAGTGTTTCAACCACAAGGTGTTGGCAGATTGAGCACTAAGGCTTGGGAGCTGGAGGGGACAGAGAGGAATGGTCATATGTCTGGGTCCCTGATGGTATCACTGAGCCCCAGACCGCATTGACCAGTCTCAGTGTCCCACACTGGACCTGCACATTGTCCCTCCTTTAAGGCTGGCCATGCACCATTCTGTTATGTGCAGCAACACCCAGTGGTGTCCCCCACATACACATGTCACATGTTTAGAGCACGATGGACTAGGATGTGGAGCTTGGATCCTGACCTCTGAAATGTAGGTCTCCCACAGCCTGCAACATGTCCCACACCGGATATGTACCAGGGAAAAATACTGAAAGGCTAAGGTCTCCTCAGAGAAAGTGACCTCCCTCCTAGAGGAATAAAACCATGGGCACAATGCCACACACACACACCTGTGCACAAACATGTCTGTGTGCATGCATACATGCATACAATGTGCACAAACATGTACGTGTGCATGCATACTCTAACACATACACACACATGCAAGCATGGGGCAGGGAGCTCAGTCAATAATGTATTTGTCCTATGAGCATGAGGACCTGAATTTGATCTACAGAACCCACATAAAAATGTCAGACATGGGGCTGGAGAGAGAGGGTTCAGCAGGTAAGAGCACTGGCTGCTCTTATAGATGACTCACTTCCAATTCCCAGCATCCACCCAGCATTCTGTAACTCTCGTTCCAGGGGATCCATGCCATCTCCTGGTCTGGTGGGCACTGGACTCATATTTGGAGTGCATACATGCAAGGAAGAAAACGCCCATACACATACAAACAAAAACTTTTTTTTTTTCAAAGAATCCCAGATGTTGGAAGAGAGCTGAACTCCAAGCATTGAGAAGGATCCTCAGAATGCAAGGACAGGGGAAAGATTTTGAGTTCAAAGACAGCCTGGTCATCTTAGTTACCTTTCTATTGCTGTGTCAAAACACCATGACCAAGGCAGCTTACCAAAGAAACTGTTTGCCTGGGGCTATGGAGTCAGAGAGTTAGAGTCCATGATGGCAAAGGCGTGGTGGCAGGAACAGCTGGAACCTCACACCTCGATCAGCAAGTCAAAAGCAGTCAGAGCACACTGCAGATGCCAGTCCAGTTAAAACTCAAAACCCACCCTGAGTGGCACATATTTTCCACCAAGGCCACACCCCCTAATCCTTCCCAAACAGTTCCACCAACTGGGGACTTAGCATGAGCCTATGGGAGCCATTCTCATTCATTACCCCCCCACTGGGCTGAAGAGCAAGTTACAGGCCAGCCAGGGCCAGTGTGATACAATGAAACCTTACCTGGGAGAAAAGGAGATATGGCTAGCACCTGGAAGAGAAACAAAGTAACCTCTGGATTCCACGTGAGTGAACACATACGTGCATATATATACCTGGACATGCATGTGTACACAGACACACATTGTCTTAGTCATCATTCTATATCTGTGAAGAGATACTGTAACCAAAGCAACTCTTATCAAAGAAAAATCGGGGCCTTGTGTACCCTTCAGAGGCTTGGTCCATTATCATCTGGGCAGGAAGCATGGCAGGAACATGGCTCAGTAGCTGAGAGATGCATGCTGCTGCTCAGAGGGAAAGAGAACCTGAGCCTGGTTTGGGCTTTGGAAACTAAAAGCCCACATCCAGTGACACACTTCCTCCAACAAGGCCACACCTCCTAATCCTTCTGCTCCTACCAAAGAGTTCCACTCCACCGTGACTAAGCATTCAAATACATGAGCCTATGGGGGCCGTTCTCATGCAAACCGCCACCCATACAATAAAAATACAAAGGAGAAAGGATCACTGTGGGCAACAAACTAGATAGTAGTTTATTAGACAAATGTCAACCTCACTGTGCACACAGGAAAGTTTGCTTCTTCTTCACGTGACAGGACAGTGGCACCAATGAGGAGGAACCCACCATGGGTCACAGAGGCCTTGGTCATCAGCTTCACAATGTGGCAGGTGGATGGCGCCATCTTCACGGAGTGCCATGCCTGAGATGTGTAGGTCTGGTCCTGGTCAATGGGTTTTCTACTTTTGTCCTCCATCCAAAGGCCCCAGGGGCCGCACCCATGCCAGAAGGTGCACGGAAGCCCTTGACTCAGGCCATCTTCAGTTCTCTGTTCTCTTGATGGCTCCTCTATAACACGGATGCACGGTTAATAAAAACGCAGAGACAGATATTGGAGTTCAAGCTGAAGACCAGAAAAGCAAAACAGCCAGCCACTGGCTCTTACCTCAACCTCAGTCCAAAATGGGTGATCCTGCCTCCACGAAATCACAGACCGAGACTGAGACTGAGAGCTGTCTTCTCTCATCTTTAATCCTCTTCAGTTCTGGGATTAAGGGTGTGCACCACTACCGCCTGGTTCCTACGGCAAGCTAGCATGGCCACTGGGATTAAAGGTGTGTGTCATTGCTGCCTGATCCTACACAAAAAATATGGCCAGTATGTCTCTTCTACTTTCCTGAACCTCAGGCAAGCTTTATTTATTAAAATACAGAAGAAAGGCCACTACACAACATTTGGGCCTCTAGCTTCCCTTTCTGTCAAACATCCTTTGGCTCCTTGATGACCATCTGTGGCTTTTCCAGGACTCCAGGGGCTACATTTCCTGACCTACCCAGCAACATGGGCATCCTCACCTATATCCCTGAGCCCTCCTCAGCCTCGTCCATCACTCAACATAGGCCATTGACTCCTGACACAGAGCACCGTCAAACTCCACCCCTCCATCTATCCCAGCCTGCCCTCCCTCCTGAGCCCCTCACTCAGCCATCAGAGAGACCTCTGGGGAGGGTGAGGATGCCACTCAATGGGAGATGCTGGCCCAGCATGTACAAAGCCCTGGGGTCCATCCTCAGAACCCCACATACAAGAAAAGGAGTACACATCTGTATTTCAGCATCTGGTGGCGGAGGCAGGAGAATGAAGGTTCAAGTGCATCCCCAGAAATAATGAGTTCCAGGCCAGCCTGAGCATGGGGTCCTGTCTTAAAAACTAAAAAGCGTGGCAGGTGACACCAGTCATTACAGCCCAGGATGGTCACACCTTTCAGGACAGCTCAGGACTCTGTAGGATTTCTTCATCATGAAGAGAGAAAAAGAAAAAGAAGGAAGGACAAATGGTAAAGGTGAGTTCCCCAGCACCAGTCAAAGCTCGGGGGCTCAGCAGCAGGAAGAAGGCTCAGCTCACAGGAGCTCAGGGAGGCTGGAGCCGTGGACTGAGGATTCTACACATTTTCCACCACCATTGCCTGGAAGTTTCTGTGCAGGCCAAGAAACCCTTCTACATCATGGAGCGTCCCAAACCTGCCCTTCCCTGGCTTCTCAAAGAAAGAATCCCCTAATCAACACCACCCAGTGCTCCTTCATCCCTCACTCAGCCTCCAGGACAAACCCTGAGCCCCACCACCTCTGCTCCATGGGATCAGCACAGGAGCAAGGGACAAGTGGACGGCTGAGAGTGTAGATCCAGCTTGGTCTGCACAACAAGGCCCAAAGCAACCTTAGCCACCCAGCAGGACCCTGTCTCAACCCCCAACACACACACACACACACACACACACACACACACACACACACACACGATAACCAAAAGAGAAAGCAAACTGGGCACCAGCATCTGAAGGATTTAACTTTTCCCACTTCTACAGCTGAATTTAGGTTTCAGTTCTCTGAGAAGGGCAAACAGGTATCTCTCCCAACAAAGGGCCCTTTGTCAACAAACACCCTTACATTCAGGGATGAGGAGGGGGAGACTGCAAACCAGGCCTGAGTCATCCCCACAATTTCTCATGGACATTTCCTTGAAACTTTACCCAAGTATGTCCAAAACTCAAACCTCGGCCAATTAGACTACTATAACTGCAGCTTGTTTAACCAACCGTATTTGAGATGACCTAACTGTTCCTGAAATTCCCCTGGCTGGGCTTGAAAGGAGTCTGCACGCTCCTCTCGTCGGCATTTTGTGGAGGTGAACGATCCCACATACACTGGTAAATAAATGTTCTTTGCTCTTCCATACTATGTGAGTCTGGATGTTCCTTCTGCATTTCCTCAGACTCTGTATTTGGTGCATTAGAGAGGAAATGCTGGAGATCCCAACTCATTAGTAGGGCATTTTAGGAGAGCACAATCCGTTCTCAGCCAATCGGTGAGTCTGGATTCGTCTGGGCATGTCTTTGTTCAGGTCTGATGTCTGGACACAAAACTTGAGACCAACAGAGGCAGGGCAGACACGTAACTCCCTCCTCCTCTGGGAGATCTGAAGACGCTCAGAACTCCCTTCGGGTGGAAACAATGAGTTCCAATCTGTTGAAGTCAGGAAGCTCCAGTCTGGTTATGGTAACCACTGAGGGTTTACTCCCGCCATCTGGGCGGAGCCTAAGCACGGGACGTGCCACCTGTTAGGGCGGAGCCTCCAAAGATGGAGGCCAAAGACGGGGATTGACACCATCATCTGCATCTTTTCAGTTTCTTTTTCCAACACCAATGGGTTTGTTCTTAAATGTATGTATTTATGTTCTGTTCTTCGTTTCTTTTATGTTCTTGACAAATATTAGAATGGAGAAGACACCCCATGGACCTGGTCCCTTCACTTTTCAAGGACTTCAAATGCCAGGCAGAGAATCTGCGGTGAATTGTTCGCTGGGGAAGCTATTGGTCTTTTGCAGGAAGACTGACTGCCAGGTATTCTGTGCCAGCAGCTGCTGCGTACCCATGCAGCCACTGCTCCCTCCCTTCCTTCAGTTGAAAACCTGAATGCCATGCACAACCTTGTGAGAGCCCCTCCCTCCACCAAGGTCCTCGCTGCTGTTACTTTCCCGTATTAACCCTTCCCTGTCCTGACACTGCCTACAAGGTAAACTGTTAAAAATAATTTAAAAAATCTTCAATAAACGACAGCTGCTAAAAAACATACTAAATTATAAAAGGAACTGTTAAATTAAACCAGCCTATATACTTTAGGATGTCATGGCTTCAGATTAAGTTGGAAGATATATTATGCTTGGGAAAAAATTATGCTTTTGATTCCATAGGAAACAAAAATATGTGGTTTCCCTTCAAGATTAATAAAGATCAGATTTGAGTGGGGAGACCTCTGAGGATCTTGACTTCAGACATGAGGAAGAAAGCCAGGAAGACTACAGGACAGGTGACATGCATGCTGAGCCCTCTGCATGGGAACAGCTCTGAGACCCGAAGGCAAATATTACAGCCAGTTTTCTCAGGTCTGGGGCCATTATCTCCAGTTTCCCCAGAGACCCCTAAAGATGCCTTTGCCCACAGACAGCAGGAAAAAGTCTGGAGAATATGATGCCACATTTCCAAAAGATAAGATAGCTGGTTTGGGGGCATTCAGATTCAGTGAGTTGTAAGCATTTTTCTTCATTTAGGGGGGGTTGTTTACAAATTATTATTAGTCAGATTAAGAAAAAAAAGACTCCTACTCTTGACTATTTCACATTTGTATGAATTTTTATGTATTAATACAAATTTAAGGCTATTTTTGTTAAACTATATATATTTCCACTCTTGTTTAAGGTTTTGTGCCTATAAAACTCATTTTAAAATATAACATATAATTTTAAAATACAGGTTGATAATTAATCATCATGTCACAGCCCTCTGGGTTGTGGGGTTCTATATGATTGGCCTTCTATAAAATGGCAGAATCAAAATCTCAGTCATAAATTATAACAAGATGCTGGGCAGAAACATAGGACCGGAGACATTTGACAGGGGAACATGATGCTCTGGTTGTTGTTTCTAAACTTAGATATATTTTCAAGATTAAGCCTAGGTTTGTTTAGCTCAGATCTAGCCAATAGATGGTGGTCCTCAAACCTGTCAAAGATCTGATGAATACGGCATTTAAGTTATTTAATACAAAGGCTTTATTATGACAGACAGAGGCTCCCAGCTCCTAGCAGCGACCCTGAGGTCTCCAAAGAAGATAATGGAAAACCATGATGGCACCACCTGGATTGCTGATAACACTGACTGACCAGTGAGCAAAATGCCCCAAGACAACACCTGCTGCTAGGACCCAGCCCAGACTGTAAGCATGCAGGACACAGGAGAATTGATTGTTCCACTTTGCATAGACAAAGTAAGGTCAGTCTTCCCCATGTTCCTCCTCCACAGGAAAAACTCTCACCTTATGGGCCCGGCAGTCAAAGACTGATGCTGTCCTGGTGCCTCTGCCCCAAAGCTCTGGAGACCACAGGAGCCTGGGATGCTTGTCTAGGTAATGGACTAGTCTCTGCCATTTTAACTGATAACACAGGCCATTCTGATTATTCTTCATGTTATAATTTATCCTTCTCAAATGTCTGATTGTATTGATGACTAGGCTACCTATAACTTTGTCAGCTTAGCAGCAACCAGATTCTTCCACAAGGCCATAGCCAGCTTGTTAACTCATTTTATTTGCAAAAATCAAGCCTTGTCTACAAATTGAGTTCCAGAACAGCCAGGACTGTTACACAGAGAAACTCTGTCTCAAAAAAAAAAAAAAAAAAAAAAAAACAGGTTTCAGAAGTAATTTTAAAGAACATGATTTAAAATAACTGTGCTCGGTAATAGCTGCTTGTGTCTCTGGTAAATGATTAGATTAAAAGAAGAGGTTAAAGTCCATACAAGTTTTACAGGTCTAAGGAAGTCTTAAAATACAAGTTTTAATGATATGTAGAAAATTGTAAAAGGCAGAAGGGATATAAACTGTATTTGCTTTGGTTTCTCATATCTGCAAATACTAAATTTAAAAAGAAACCATAAAATATATTAGACTAAAAAAACACACATAAGAAAGACATTAGTTAAAGTTTTTATGTTGTTTAAAAACATGAAGAAATAGATTAAGAGAAAGAGAGAGAGAGTGGAAGGAAGGAAGGGAGGAAGGAAGGAAGAAAGGAAGGAGGTGTTTGTCTAAAGTAAAATGTCTGGCTGAACCAGAGGAGCAGAGATAGAATAAGCCTGGCCTAAGGGTGTAAGCCTACTCCAGCTGTTTTACAGACACTGTTATCTTCGTTTTCTACAATATGGATTTCAGTACAGATTGATAATGCTAACATATCTAAAACTTTTATGTCTTTTTGTAAACTAAAAATTCATATAAGCTTCAAAAAATAGAGAGAGGTAGAAAACTTGGATCCACTTCTCAAAGATCAAAAGGACTCTAGATAAATACAGCCTAAGATTCCCCTCCTGTCTATTCCTAAGGATGACGTTTCTCTTCCTCTCCTGGTCTTGGGACTCCTTGCCTTCCCAATTACTAGGACTATGGGCCTGAAAGTTCCAAATATTTTTCTTTAAGTTCATAAATTTTGGCTTCTGTCCCGCAGGCTTCCACTTGACTGACAGGCACATCCTAGCATCCACTGTGACTAAAACCTGCTCCAAATGCCTAAAGCCCTGGACTTGCTGAAAGCTGATGTGGAACAATCCAGCCGTTGTAAAAGTTCCCCATCTCTTCAGCTGGGTCAGCAAACCAGATGCTTTGGATGAACTCCCCCTTGTCTAAACTCCTTCCTTGCCTTTGATCTGACATTACAAACTTCCTGGGCCCTGACAGGAACATCCTAGTTTCCTGAGGGAGCGCACAGAAGTGGATCCATTCCACCTTGGCTAAAGGTCAGAGATTTCAGACCTATTCTTGCTCCTTCAAGGTTGTGTGACAAGAGGTTTGACTTAAGGCGGGGTTACTAATAGGATGCTTTGGCCTCAGGTGTGGTTACTTGATGTTTTGGGTATTAAGGAGGTAATTACTTTGTTCCTTGTATCATAGTAAAGAATCTTTTGCCTTCCCCTTCTCTTTGAATTGGGGTATATAAAGGCTATGAGAAATAAACACGGGGCGAATCTCAGTATTTATTAAATACCCTCTCAAAGCCGGGCGGTGGTGGTGCACACCTTTAATCCCAGCACTCAGGAGGTAGAGGCAGGCAGATCTCTGTGAGTTCGAGGCCAGCCTGGTCTACAAGAACTAGTTCCAGGGAAAGGAACCAAAAGCTACGGAGAAACCCTGTCTCGAAAATCCAAAAAAAAAAAAAAAAAAAAAAAATACCCTCTCGACTCTATCAGTTGTCTCTTATCTATTCCTTTTTTAACCCACATGCTTCCCACCAAGCACACACACGCATATGTCATGTGGGACCCAACAAATGGCACCCAGCATGGGCTTCAAAAGAAGCCATGTAGCTGATGGAAGAGACAAATGCTGGGAAAAAAAATGATGGCTACCAAGAAGCCTTGCTTAACTCTGTTCTTTTGTGTCTGAAGTTTCTTTCCAAGCTTTCTCAGGTTTTATGTGGATATAGTCAACCACGTTGGGCACCAATCTGTTGGGAGAGGCTGCTTGTTCATTTCCTGGCAGCCCATACTCAAAATAATTACTCAGAAACTGTATTAAGCCAGGTGGTGGTGCACACCTTTAATCCCAGCACTCAGGAGGCAGAGGCAGGTGGATCTCTGTGAGTTCAAGGTCAGCCTGATCTACAAGAGCTAGTTCTAGGACAGACTCCAAAGCTACAGAGAAACCCTGTCTTGAAAAACAAAAAAGAAAAAGAAACTATATTAATTACAACACTGCTGGACCTATTAGTTTATACATATTTCTAGCTAGCTCTTGCATCTTAAATTAACCACATCTCTATTAACCTGTACATCACCACGAGGTTGTAGCCTACCGGCAAGGTTCCAACATCTGTCTCTTCCAGCAGCTACATGACTTCTCTTTGACTCCTCCATTTTTTTCTCCCAGCATTCAGTTTAGTTTTTCTGCCTAGCTCTATTATACCCTGTCATAGGCCCAAGCAGCTTCTTTATTCATTAACCAATAAAAGCAACACATATACAGAATCACCTCCCACATCACTGGTTAGAAAAAGGTTATAGTCTATCTGAGAATAATTGGACATGATACTAATGAGTTCTTATATTTGATATGTTTAATAAGACAAATTTGGATTTTGATGCAGCTAAAACCGTTAAAGACATCCTAGACCAACTTAAAAAGGTCATCCCATCTTGGTCATCCTCTAGTCCTTTATTAGTAGCTATGTGGCCATGGGAGCACATATGGTGTGGGAAGTCCCTCTGCATGTGTGTTGCTTTTATTAGTTAATGAATAAAGCTGTTTCAGCCAGTGGCTTAGCAAAATGGAGCAAGGTGGGAATTCCAAGCCTATAGAGGAGGAAAGAAGGTAGAGTCAGGGAGAGGCCATGTAGCTTCTGGAAGAGAAAGATGACCACACGCCAGTACCAGTAAACCATGAGCCTTATGGTAAAATATAAAATAATAAAAATTAGTTAATTTAAGATGTAAGAGCTAGCTAAAAATATGCTTAAACTATTGGTCAAACAGTATTGCAATTAATATCGTTTCTGTGTGATCTTTTCAGGTCTGGGCAGCTGGAAATGAGCAAACAGCCTCTGTCAACACACATGTGTTACGAAGCATTATCTGCTTGCCTATGATTCTCCAGTTACTTGTGAGAGATCAATGAAAAGTTGGCTGGGAGGTGCTTGGCATCAAGCTACGCAATCTCCCTTAACCCTTTATGAACAGATGCTGGTAGTAATGATGAGTAAGATCTTTTTCCCTCCAGGCAATCTAAAACAGGATGTTTCATGATGAAATGTATGTACTGATGATGGGTAAGTCTGCAAGCTTGAAGAACACAATCTAAGACAGGCACAGCCATCTGTCCTGTAGCAGAAGTGCAAGCTTTAATAAATAAATTAAAAAGGGGGAATCTGTGGGAGCCCACAGAAGTGGATCCATTCCACCTTGACTAAAAGTCAGAGAGTTCAGACCTATGCTTGCTCCTTCAAAGTGATGACAGGAGGTTTGACCTAAGGTATGGCTGCAAACAGGATGCTCTGACCTAGGGTGTGGTTACTTGATGTTTTGAGTATTAAAAAGGTAATTACTTTGTTTCTTGTATCATGGTAAAGGAGTCTTTTGCCTTCCCTGCCCCCCTTTTAGGAATAGGGTATAGAAAGGCTATGAGAAATAAACATGAGGTGAATATCAGTATTTACTGGATGCCCTCCCAACTCCATCTGTGTCTCGTATCTATTTCTTTCCTAATCAACATGCTTCCCCCAAAGCGTGGATAAATATGTCAGACAGGACCTGACAGTTTCAGCTAGGAAGTAATTACAGCATACAATACATCTCCCCTTGTCCCCCAACAAAATGGAATGTGAATTCAGAAGGAAACTCCCTGTCCTTTGGGACTTGAGATAAAATAAATAACTGGTTCCCATTCTCATATCCCCGTTCCTTCTAGATAATGAGCTCTGTCAGCCATCACAGGACCTTTGGCCCTTCTGCTTCTGCTAATTGCTATTGGCTCTTATATCATTGATGCCTTAACAAAATGATAATTCCTATCTGGCTGCTATTAAACTGATGGTTATTAGAGCCCAGTATCAGCCCCTAGACCAATCTCAACGGTTCCAGATAGAGCCAATCTCAAGGGGAGAATGAAGGGTTTAAACGTTCCCACTTTTACAGCTGAATTTCATTTTCAGTTCTCCGAGAAGGGCAAACAGGTGTCTCTGCCAACAAAGGGCCATTTGTCAAAAAAACACCATTACATTCAGGGATGAGGAAGACAGCGTGAACAACACCCGAGTCAGCCCCAAACCTTTCAAGGACAGTTCCTGCAACCCCCTTGAAACTTATCCAGGTATGTCCAAAAACAGAGCCTCAGCCATTTAAAAGTATACTGCTATAACTGCTGCTTGTTTAACCAATCATATTTGAGATGATCTCTTGATCATGATTCCCCTGGCTGTGCTTAAAAGAAGCCTGCACACTCCTCTCATTGCCGTTTTGTGGAGGTGAACAGCCCAGCATATATTGCTAGATAAATGCTCTTTGCTCTTACATACTATTTGAGTCTGGGGTCTTCCATCAGCATTTTGGTGACATATTGTCTGCAGGGTAAAATTTCATCACCTGTACTTAAAAATTAGAGCTGGCTTTGCAGTTGGGCAATGGCTATCTTTCTCTAAATCTAAGCATGTTATTAAAAGAAAAATAGAGTTTCTGTGTCATCGCTGGAGCCATCTAGTATGGGACAGAAAGAAGAAAGAATTTAGGAAAGATTTTACTTTTCCCCACCAATATTTTTGTTTCTATCATACGTCCATTGACTATATGGCTATATGAATAATGTCTAAGTTTTCTACAATGAACAATAAATTTTCCTGTGGTAATTTTTGAAGTTTCCAGGAAGACAATGAGGCCCCACAACAATGACTCCACCTGGTTGATATGACATCATGATGCTGATAGCACTCCTTTAAGACCAGTTTTGGGTACAGGCTGCTCAAGATGATTCCAACTTGGTTAGCTGAAATGGTGCACCTCCTTACAACATTTTGGCCAGAACTCCAAATAAGAACTTCAGAAAAACCGTTTCGACTACTCAGAGACCATTTGCAATTATACCAGATAGTAATCTTGAAACTTAACCATCATTTTAGTTTTACAGGATCCCATAGACATAGCATTGCTCCCATGACAGTTGGAAGTAATTCTAGAAGATGATGTCCCCTCTCCCAGCAAGGTTTGTCCTCAGGGTTAGAGACATCTATTAAGGGCTGATTACAAGTGGTATAGGGTTGGGGGTTGGGTGGAAACTATGTAGGTTCAGGGATCTCTTTGGGAAAGAAAAGGAACTGGATGGGATAATAGGCAGATTAGTGTGTACTTATTCACACTAATAATAATAGTGGGTAATGGAGTGAATACTTATGAGCTATTATTTATAAACAATTTATTGGTATAGATTTTTATATATTGATACAAATTTAAATTATATTTGTTATATTGGATATGCTCCTATTTCTGTTTTACAATATTTGTACACCTAGGCAAAGTTATTTTGTCATATTGTATGCATGCATGTTTCAAACTCTGCTTAAGATATTTTGTATATTGATGCAATTTTAGGATTTATTTGTCATATTGCACTATACATTTCTACCTCTGACCAAGATACTTATACACTGTTTACATTTTGAGGTCATTGTCCTCATTTTCTGCACAGTTGTTTAAAATCATTTAATATTCTAATAAGAAGCCTTAGTCTTTAAGCTTTATAGGTATTAAGAATTATAGGTCAATAGTCATCCATGTTTGTCATACATATAGTTAGACTAATCAGGTTCTTTAGATACATAGAGACTGTATTCCACATAGATGGGTAATCTTCAACCACTTCAAAGAACTGTAGAGTATGGCATTCAAATAATTTAGGGTTTGTTAAGTATATCTCTTGGCCAACAAACCTCTCCACCAATGCAAATAATTCCAATCTGACCAAATTAGACCAAATTAAAAGACGCTCATATTTAACGGATGGCAATACTCCTAGGTGGCCCCAGGAAAACCAAGAGGAAAAGGGGGGAAAGGGGAGACCACGGAACCAGGAGACCACATGTTCATTCTCTAGGGGGCAGTTCAGATAGCCTGTGGGAGTGGTCTTGACCTTCCCTGGGGAGAAGTCACCTTTTGGAGGGCTTTCTCAGAGGTGGGGTTTGGACTGAGGCAACTCCCAGGGGAGGGAGCTTGTGCCAGGATCTGGGGTGAAGCTGGGGTGAATCCGCCAGCTAAATAATTCAGATTTTTTTTTGTATAAGGGGTGCCAGGGAGCTGAGGTGATGCTTTTAACTAAACAGGGTTCTGTTGATGTGAGACACGATTGCTCCTGGCATCACTGATCTAGTCCTGAGAGTTGTTAGGCACTGAAGACACTCCACTTGGAGCTTGCTTTCTTCTTGGCAAAACTAGCCTTTGGGCAAAGAACTGTGATGTGGGATTTCCCTCTGTATGCTGTGATTACCATTAAGAAATAAAGAAACTGCTTTGGACCTATAGGAGAGCAGAACTTAGCTAGGTGGGGAAAACTAAGCTAAATGCTGGAAGGAAGAAGGGCAGAGCCAGAGAGAAGCCATGGAACTGCCAGAGACAGATGTGACACTGGGAACTTTACCTGACAAGCCACAGCCACGTGGCCCTATACAGATTAATAGAAAAGGGTTAAATTGATATAAGAGTTAGCCAATAAGAAGCTAAAACTAATGGGCCAAGCTGTGATTTAATTAATACAGTTTCTGTGTGATTATTTCAGGGCTAAGCAGCTGGGAACTAACTAGTGGCCTCCCTCCTACAGAACTGCCCATGCCTCGACCACTGACAAAATTCCAGACTGGACAAGAAGGATACAAGCAAAAAGACTACCAAACCTTACCAAGACAGGGTAAGATGGTTTTGAAATTTTTCCTGGCTCTGAAAATTGTCTGTCCTAGGTCTTGGCCAAAGTTGGTTGCTCCAACATTGCAGATGAGACTTCGGGTAATTGCCCAGGTAGCCAGTTGTCCCCATCATTTATTGTACCTTTTGGAAGTTGCTTAATTTTGCTTCCTGTTTACTCAAGTAATATAATTCCCCTTCTTGGGTCTTTGATGGGATTAAAGACTAGATAGGCATAGTTATTTTTCTCTCATGACTTAGCCAAGCTATTTCTAAAACAAGACTTAGACTCCTAAGGATAAGATAACTATTAAAACATTTAGTATATGGTTTTTTGCTTGATATTATATATGCTAGTTATAATTCTAATTTTTATACTTAATATTTGTTCTTATTGTATATAGTTTTGTGTTAGGCTTAGAACTCTTTTCTTTTCAAGACAGGGTTTCTCTGTAGCTTTGGAGTCTGTCCTAGAACTAGCTCTTGTAGACCAGGCTCGCCTCAAACTCACAGAGATCCACCTGTCTCTGCCTCCCAAGTGCTGGGATTAAAGGCATGTGCCACCACCGCCCAGCTAGAACTCTTTTATTTAGACAAAAGGAGGAGATGCTGTGAGAACTTCTTCAGTCAATAGCCTTTAAGGAACTGGCTCACTCTGGGCGTGGCCATGTGTATACACAGATGTAGAAACGTGCGCAGTCCCTTGGCTGCTGGATTCAGTTCCTGTTCCCCGCTCATGCAGAGGACTGCTGATCTGTGAGTCTACCCCTAAATAAAGAGACCCTTATTATACTCCATTCTGAGTTAGTGTGGGACTACTTTATTATAATCGACTACATCTGGACCCTTATACAACCATATTTCTCTGATTCCTCGCTGTGGATGGGATGTGACCAGCTGCTCCACACTCCTATTCCCATGCTTTCTCTGTTGTATTCTCAATTGTGAGTCAAAATAAGACCTTCCTTTCCTCCTAAAGTAGCTGTTGTCAGGCATCTTGTCACAACAATTGAAAGAGAAAAAGGATCCCCAAGTTCACAGGAGGAGGAACACCCAGAGCTGCCTTTTCCCCCCACAGCCATCCCCTGCTCCAGCACACACACAGCTGGGAGCCACTGGGAGGGTGACTCCTGTGTGGGGAAGTCCTAGACCAGCACTTTAAACAGGACTTTTGCAGAAAAGTGTTATCCAGACAGAAGAAAGGAGAGTAGGCAGTGAGAGACAGGGTCAAAGGCCATGAGGACAAGTGTAATTTCGGGTCACTGTCCTTCTGAGGGGACAACAGATGGAGCAACTGCTACAGACTGAGGAACGGAGCTCAGATGTTAACAGTCATATAAAACACAGGGCGTGGGGTATACACCTGTGTAGTCAGAGGCTGCTTGCTCATTCCCAGACACCAAGACCCGAAATAATTACACAGAAATTTCATTGATTGCAATACTGTCTGGCCAATAGCTTAAGCATATTTCTAGCTAACTCTTACATCTTAAATTAACCCATTTCTATTAATCTGTGTATTGCCATGTGGTTGTGGCCAACCAGTAAAGTTCCATCCAGCATCTGTCTCCTGGAGCGGCTACATGGCTTCTCCTTGACTCTACCTACTTTCTCTGTAAATATCTCTTCCAGCCTAGCTATATTCTGTTAAGCCACTGGTTGAAAGCAAATTCCGTATTAATTAATGGCAATAAAACATATTCACAGCAGACAGAGGGGAATCCCACATCACACCTGTAATCCACACTCCAGACAGAAACACACAGCAGGAGCCTACAACTTGCTGGCCAGTCAGGCAGGCCTAACTGGTGGCTGCCGAGGAGACCCTATCTCAGAAAACAGTAGGAAAATTGATTACACAGGGGCACCTGACACAGTCCTTGGTCACATATTAGCGCGTGTGTGCATATGCACGAGCACACGCGCTCACACACACACACACACACACACACACACACACAAGCATTGCCTCTCAATGAACTCAGCCAGGCTATACTTCTCCAAGGGTTGACTTACATGCTACTGTAGTACCAGTCAGTGACTACCAGCCAGGAGAGGGTGGTTGCCAATAGCCAGGCTTATCTTCTGCAAGCAACTGGCAGAAGTGCCAGGGCCACAGACTATCAGTAATTTCAGAGGTGAGATCTTAGGGAGGGTTTCAGAGAGGGCCAGGCTGGTGGCAGCCTGGCTCAGTCCCTGCTCGCCCATCCCACAACACCCAGCAACACAGGCACTAACATCCTAGTGCCAGCTCTCTAGCCTTCTGTCTGAGTCTAGTCACCCCAGATTCAGATGCTAACTGCAGACCTTGAAATGATGGCATCCCAGTCCAGCATAGGTAACAAGTGACTTTATTGGGGCCCCGTGTTCATGGGTGACTGAGGCGGCTGCATCCACATGAAGTGCACCACAGCATTGTGCTGAGTCATGAGAACCGCACCCAGGAGGTCACCAGCAAAGGCTGTTTGCAGCCAGGTCCCTGGAGGAGTCTTCTCTCCCCTTGTGTCCCCAGCAGAAATTCAATGAGGCTGAGGAGGGCACTCAAGTCCTGTAGCTTCCTGTTTCTCCTTCCCTCAGGCCAAAGATGTTTCAGTCAAAGAGAAACAGCTGGAGAATAAGTCACTAGGTGATGGATCTGAGGGGACTACAGATAAATCCAAAACGCAGAGAGTGGCCTACCTTATGCATTGTTCTCTGAGGAGGGCCCATCCCTGGAGCCCTCAGAAGAACTGGGCAAGCCATTGTTGGAGCCCTCTGGAGGACTGGGCTGGTCATTGTTAGTCGGAGCCTTGTACCACAGGTGGGCCCCTCCTAGGAGGGCTCCTCCCAGCAGAAGCAGCAGGGAGCTGAGCCAGCTCCATCATGGTTTCCATGAGCAGGAGAGAGAGAGAGTTGCCGTTGATAACATTGTGTGTTATCCAGGACACAGACACCAGCAGCAGCACACCAAGTCCCAGGAACAACGCACTTGTCACCACCGTCATCTTTAATGCTTGTATTTGGCACACATGTCGTGTCTCCCCGGAACCTGTCCAGCAGCAAACCCATCCAGGTGATGACAATGCAGGTGACCACCAGAACTCGAGACACCTGTATGTCCTGGGGTAGTGTCATGCGTGAGTATTTCACACACCGTAGGATCTCAAGTCCTTGAGCCTCACACATGAACCACAGCCCTTCCCAAATTATGATCTCTTCAGAAACTTTTGTACCACGCCAGAAGGGTAGGGCACAGCAGACAATGGTAACCAGCCAGCCCAGCCTGACCAGAGACGTGCTGGCTACTTCCAGTTGCCGGCGAGTCATGGCTCATTGTCTGCTGGACACGGGACACAGAAGAGACAGGGGATCTGGCTGTCAGATGCAGAATTCAAAGGGCTGAGGATGGACTTTCAAAGTGTCCATAGTGAGCTGTCCTGAGAACCAGCAGCACAGATGAGAGTCGCTATGACGTCAGACACACCACCAGCAAGTATGTCCTCAGCAGTGACACAGAGACCTGTGGAGTAGATTAAGCTTGTATGAGCTTTGGTAGAAGGATGGGGCAGAGGGAGGAGATTCAGTACACAGGCTTATTGTGATCAGATCTCTGTACTTTTTTTCCATGTTTATGTGTGTGTTCATACACATGTGGGCACAAGACTGAGGAAAAAATCTCTGTTGTCATTTTTAGGTTGTTTTTGTTTGTTTGTTTGTTTTGTTTTTTTCCGAGACAGGGTTTCTCTGTGGCTTTGGAGCCTGTCTTGGAACTAGCTCTGTAGACCAGACTGGTCTCGAACTCACAGAGATCCGCCTGCCTCTGCCTCCCGAGTGCTGGGATTAAAGGCATTCGCCACCACTGCCCGGCTTTATTTTTAGGAATTCTATCTACCACCTCTGAGATGAGGTCCAGTATCACCTCTCTCTGCTTCCTGAGTGTGGGTGCATTAGCATTAGCACCACCCTAGCTGAGGACCAGCATCAGCTTCCCGAGTGTGGATGTGATGGGACCGCCTGCTTCATGTTCCTGCCCAGTGCCATCTCCACCATGATGGGCTGCGTCCTGGGAGCCAGAGAGCCCTTTCTTTCTCAGGTTGTTGTGTGTCCGTGTTTTATGACAGCCAGAGGAGGTCAACTGTCTGGCAAGGTGGCGCACACCTTTAATTCCAGCACTTGGGAGGCAGAGGCAGGTGCATCTCTGTGAGCTCCAAGCCACCTTGGTGTACAGATTGAGGAGTGGGACAGCTAGGACAGAGTAACAATGTCAGAGGGGAGAAGAGAGGGAGGGAGGGANGAGGGAGGGAGGGAAGGAGGGAAGGAGGGAAAGAGGGAAGGAGGGAAGGAGGGAAGGGGAGAGAGAGAGAGAGAGAGAGAGAGAGAGAGAGAGAGAGAGCGCACTCAGGTACACTAGAACGCTAGAACATGATCTGAGCTGAGCTCAGGGATAAACAAATCCAACATATAAAGAGAGGCCCACCTTCTGCTCTCCTCCTGGGTGGAGGAAGGCAGGGCGCTTGCTAGGACTGAGCAATTCTTTCTCAGTTGGGGCCTTCCACAAGGACAGGGCTCCTCCACACATCAGCAGCACAGAGCAGGACCAGTCTGGAAGGAGCAATACACCCAGCTCTGCTTTCTGCATGGAACCCGAGAATGAATTGGGGTGGCCATAGATGAAGTTGTGCTTTCTCCTGGACATGGACACCACCAGCTGCAGGAGGCACCCACCCTCCTTACAATCATGGCATCGCTTCAGTCCTTAGAAAATCATGATTGCACACAGCCTCAAACGCACACAGAGCAAACCCATTCCATCATACAGATGCCCATGAGGACCTGAGATACCTGTGGGCCCTGGGCTGATGTGACCCAGTAGCCATGGTCCTTATACTGCATGAACATCGTCTGTGAACTTGGTACGTTTGCCATAGACCCCACCTAACACCAGATCTTAGCTCTGCCTCGCATTCAGGAAATACTGTCTGTCACCCTTCAAATTGCAGAGCACAGCTCCAAAGGGCCACCGCAGCCCTTTCTGACCACAGAGACGCTGACCCGCTGTACTGTCTTGAGTCCATGGCTCAGAGTCACTGCAGTTAGGGTGGAGAGGCAGTGGGGTTCTGGGCTAAGCTGCGGGATCCCGAGGACTGATGGTGGGCATCGGAGGGGTCCAAAGAAAGCCTTCCCCTGGAGGCAGAGAGACACAAAGCAGACAGAGACTCCATCCACACCACCGATTACCTCTGTAGAAGCCGATGTCTGTCCACGCTGGCAGTGTGAAGACAGCGGTTGACACAGACATCTGGTGATATAGATTGAGGGTGTATGAGGCTATGACCTGGGGTGGGACACGGGGAGGAGCTTCAGATAATGTGGCCTCAGAACCAGCCTACACTGTCTTGTCTTTTTCTTTAAGTATATGTGTGGGTGTGTGGGTGTCTGTCTGTCTGTCTGTCTGTGGGTGCAAACATACATGGGATATGCATGTGGAGACCAGAGGACCACCTCTGCCATCATCCACAGGATGCCATCTATCTCCTTTAAGACAAGGTTTCTCGGGGCTGGAGAGATAGCTCAGAGGTTAAGAGCATTGCCTCCTCTTCCAAAGGTCCTGAGTTCAATTCCCAGCAACCACATGGTGGCTCACAACCATCTGTAATGAGGTCTGGTGCCCTCTTCTGGCCTGCAGTCACACACACAGAATATTGTATACATAATAAACAAATAAATATTTTAAAAAAAAAAAGACAAGGTTTCTCATTGGACCAGGGCTCCCCAGCTATGCAAGGCCTCCTGGCCAGCAAGCCT